GTTGTACTGAGCTATAGTTTGTTAAGCTGGAGAACTGCAAACTTGTCCAAGTTCAGCAGATTCTCGGTGAACCAATCTCGGTCCGCCACTGTTCAATAACCTGGCGTATCGATAACTTTTATGATTAACACCCATCACTCTGCACAACACGAAGTGCTCCTGAGTCAAATTTATAGTTCAATTTCAATGAGAGCCTGTGACTACTTCGTACCTTCCGATTTTTAGCGTGTTGTTCCCCGGAGAGTTTCCATACACCGCCAATGGAATTCAACTCGTCCACTTGCTCCAGGCGTGGACCCGTCCGACTGCAATTATATCGCAACCCGCCTTCTGAAACAATTGAACTCAGTGAATTGGAACAGTATGCGGTGGATCGTATACGAGTTTTAAAGTGTGTGGAGACCGCAAGACAGGACTTCAAGGTTAGCAGCAAGGAATACGAGGAGCGACTTACAGCTGAGATGATCAAACTAGGACCATTTGCAAAATCTCTGACCATTCCAACTGGATTTAGCAAGACTGCCAAAGAGGATATCCGACGGGATATCATATCACATTTTCTTCTCCAGGTAACGTCATTTCTACTTTTCACATTCAGATTCTCTTGAGAGTCAGTTCATGTCCGTGACATTGTTCCGTACAGTAAAAATTTTCACAAGACAAAGTTTATTCTTTGAGAAATCAAAGCTTATTGGTATATTGATTTCGAATCCGTAAGCGAATACTTTGGCATCAGCATAATCGTTGTCATTTCTGTTCCTCGCAGAGTCGGGAGCAATCAACACTGTTAGCTAGAACGGAAATTCTAATGAACCGGAAATCTGTTCATTCACGAGCCAATGCGTGGTTGGATTTCTTGAACTTAGTACTGGCTGGTTTAGGCTTAGCATCCGAACCATATTGGTTGAGGTGTTCTATAGTTCGGCTACGGGGAATTTCCTCCACAACCATTTTCATCCAAACAGTAGTGATATATCAGTTTCGAATCAGCGAGCGAAAATTCATGACTCTTCAATCATTATCTCGGCTTACTATTATCTCAGCCATCATGTTTCACTCAGGTAGCATGACAATTACTCACCGAAGGGTTTCAGCAGCCAAATAATTTTATTCAAATAACACCACTTCGCCTGATACTGAATTATTGTCCACATGTTTGAGGTGATCCTCCCCCAACCTATCGTGACATAATGGATGGAATGCTGAAAGGCTTCTTCCTCATTGTCGACCTGTCACCGGATTACAACATACAGTCTTTCGCATGGTCATGTGAAACCTGTGTCATTTATACCACTTTTAGCATAGGTTTTTTCGAAGCTTGCTAGTATTGTCCCCATTCCACTTAGTTTGGCAGCTCAGCTTGTTTTCACGAAAACAGCCGCTGCTTCTGACCAACTAATCCTCCGTTATGACTGCTCCACCCCGATTCATTCTTTCACAGGACGTCCAAGCTCCCTCTTTCGACCTTTCCCACTTTGAGTTTTATCTGTCTTCCAATCGCCGGTTTACAGACATTCACCATTGTGTATTTGTTTTTATCCAGTGTCGTTTTCTTGTTTTGAATTACTGTCCTTCATAGGTATTCCCCTGACTTAAGCGTTCCTCCTTTCCCGCAATTTCACGTTTTCATGTGATAAAAACAGTTCACACACCAGACTAACCGGTGTTCTTGTTCCTGGTCACCTTTATCCTCAAGTTGTGATCTCTCTGCATCATATCACTTAATATAGCCATTTAGTCAACCATATACAGATAACCAGACAAAGCCTTTCCCGTTACTTTGTGCCAGTCAGGCTCCCCAGTCTTTCGTTTTTAACTCAAAGTCGGTAGCAAACTTTCCGTACCGTTTTCTTAGCTGATCCCACCCCACAGGTAACTATGTTTATTTTAATCCCGTGAATACCTTTAAGAAATCCAAGTATCTTATCACTTCTAGTTGATAATGTAGTAATGCACATCGTATGGGCGTATTTTGAAGATCCGTAGCATTAAGCGGTTTCTCTCAATTCTTGAATATTCAAGGTTGCCTACTGCCGCAATGAGGATCTTCGCCGCTGGTTTATTCAACAGGAGGTGGAATTGTTTCGTTACCGATTTCTGCTTGAGCGCAATAGCTCCTCGTCCGGTCCAGATGTTATATCCCATTTCTTGTCAGAGAATCAGTTGCGCTTTTCCCACTTGTCAGACAGAGAACGCGCTCGTATTCAGCAGCAGTTGGCTGCAGGAACCGCAGCTCCGGGTGTTGATTTTTCAACGACTTCTTTCTACAAGGTATGCCTTTGTTTACCTCTGGTTTTTGTATTGTGAACTTCCCTTTTATCGTTCACTGAAGTTTTGGCATCATAAATTCGCTTCTAACACAGGTATGGAAGCTCGAGTCCAGAGAATGTGTTATGTGGTCAGTAAAGTACATCCGGATCATTCATATACTGTTATCACTTACGTATGCCGATAAGAGTGTATGGCTTTGATCACCTCTGTGGGCTCCGAAGACAGAAACATTCCGAATGAGATCATGTCTGTAGTCATTGGGCTAATTCCTATTTTCAGAGTTCATCCCAATGGCTGGCCGTTCTTGTTCGTCCCAGCCTGAGGGGGGCGAGTAAGCCCAAGTGGTTAGAGCGCGAATTTACTGACCGGAAGGTTCGTGGTTCGAACCAGACCTCTGCTCTCGACTTCCCCTGTCTGGGCTTGGGCTACCTGGCAGTATCCCAGACCTCGTGTCTACTTCGTGTGGCACGACAGCTAGGCACAGGACCCACCTCTTTCACCGGGCACAATATTCGAGATATCATAGTATATTTCTCTGACAACACACTACTTATATGAAGAACATCATAAAACATAGATTAAGTTGAGTCCCTCGTTAATACCAATGTAACTGGCAAATGAGTGTACCTCGCCAATTGTGTACAATTTGGTGTTCAAGTACAAACTTGGGAACTCGGGGACTATGTCTGTCTTATAAAGTCTGATAATAGTGAAACTGGTATTGGGTTGTGAGCGCGTTTTAAGCAACCCTATGGGCGCTTATATCAGAAGAATATACTCCAATATCTCGGGTACTCTACCAAATGAAACATGAGGCAGGCTTTATGCAGCGTATTCAGTTGAGTCTCTCGTTAGCACCAATGTGATTGACAGATATCATCATCATCATCATCGACAGCATGACATCAGCGCTCAACACCGATGCTTCACTGCCGTAATTGGCAGATAAATGAATTTTGATATGGCATTACTTAACTTACAAGCTTCTCTAATCTGCATGACATCTCAACACCGATGCTTCACTGCCGTAATTGGCAGATAAATGAATTTTGATATGGCATTACTTAACTTACAAGCTTCTCTAATCTATCAAGGAATCATAGGTCATACTACCGCAAGTGGTCAGGCTTATGTAATTGAATTGTCTCCCCCGAATGGCCGGCTCCCATGATCCATTCTGGTTCCTTTTGTTCTTGCAGTTATGCCTGTATTCGGTTATTCCTTGTTATCCCTACATGTCGCTAAAAAACGACTACCTTCTGGGTTAGTGACAATGGCATGCGTTCTTGGTGAACCTTATATGCATCTAGTCATTTCTAAATGAAGCTACGGAAACTATCGACCTTCGCAAGCATTGTACTGTCCCAGAAATATTGAATAATTGTGTACAGTATATCATCAAAAACAAGACGAGGTCAGTATCTAACATCTCAGCTCTCCATTTAAGATGCTGTATCAAGAAACAGCGGAAGTTTCTATTGTTGCTTTGGAGTACTACTACTATTTAGAGACTCGATTGTGTGCAGTTGAAAGTTTTAACCAGTTATGCCACAGCTGAATAAACCAGTCAGTTACACTGATTCGCTTGACCGCACTAGTTAGACTTTGTCCCTTCACGCCAGCCAATTTAACAGTGGCTGGATAGTTCATGTAACAATCCAGCTGGGTTGCTGGATGTCTTTAGAAGAAAAGACATGCACAGTCGAACTACAGTCAGTGTTGAGGCACAACACTAGATGGTAAGGTGTGGCCTCATTGGTGTTTCTGTGAGAACCGATTGATTAATGGAAAAATTTTACTTGGTACACCCTGAGTTTCATATGATGGGGTTGGATAAGTTCGGGAAAATATTGGTTCGAGTGTTCTTACCTTAAGATACACTCTGTAGTCTACTTCAGTATACGATTTTTCAGCTTCCCGCAGTAGATGTTGCAAATTTTATATGCGTCAAAACTCAGATCGATGTCTCAGCTACGTCAACACATTAAATTAGCCCTTAGCCGACTGTTCCTCCGCAGTGTTTGCTTTACGTCTTGTGCCCTACCTCCGCGAATTCGAATTCTAGTACTCGCGAGTGTTATATGCAGAACTGTGGTCGTAATCAAGGACTTTTGTACAGAAAGCTCTCATGTATGTATTTTACACAGGTATACTTCACAGAAGTACCCGAACTGGTTCGAAGCAGACGGATCTACATCCGAGCTGGGTTCGCCTACGTCCCTGACTCTGACCTGGCCACCCTGGTCGTGTCACATTTCCGGACTGCGCTGTCTTGTAGTCTGGCTCGTCTTGGTTTCACTCTAGGTTCGCGCCTGGCATCTGAAGAATATCGCGTTCTCCCACTGCTTTCCTCCTTGTCCAGCCGTTATTTTGGCGAAGATTATGCAAACAAAGCACCGGCAATGGGCCTCATCAAAGCTGACCAAGTTGATGTATTAGCTAAACAGCATGGTGTTTTTCCGCCTTGCATGGCTCAGCTGCATGAAGCGCTCAAGGCAAATCACCATCTTCGGCACTTCGGTCGTATGCAATATGGTTTGTTCCTCAAGGTATATCACCCGTTATTACCACAATTATGACAATAAAATAAAGATGTGGGGTGATTCATGATGCAAGTCCTGATCTCGGCAGGAAGCAATACCAGCCAAAATACATTCACTACAAGGTTAATTCAAAAATTGGCATTTCGGGCGAATTGTTTCGCTTTTTACACCTCAAAGCGTGCACAGATATTAAAGGGTAAATTATTGGCAACAAGGTTCGTAATTTGAGTCCATCTGTCGTGTGTATGTCTGAGCAAGCCAACAGTATTCCTTACTCACGACGGACTACATAGCCAGAATACACTGAAAGGGTACTAAACCCAAATGTTCTTGTCTTTACTCGAACTAATGGCAAGTTGAAGCGCAAAACCACTTCTTTTAATAAAGGTAAACTGGAATTTGTCATCGAAACCTCTACTTTTGCCTACGTCTACTTACGTCTACTTTTTCAACCTAGGACTGCATACATATTGTTTGAAGATCACCTGTCATTTAGGGGATAAAAAAGACAAATACAAGTGTTCAACTCGCTTTCACCCATTCTTAGCGTCAAGGATTATTCGCACTCTCTGGGAATTATCTGATAAGCTATTCAGACAGACAATTGATAGCCCGCTATAGTCTCATTGTACATGATTTGATGACCAACTCTAGGAACCTGCTGTAGATTCTCGTGAGCATAGCGGACAAGCAAAAGTATTTATACACCGTACCTCATTAAGTGATCTGACTTCACAAAACGCGCACTGTTGTGTATTTACAATCTGTCAATACCCCTCATATATCGCTTCCCGAGAATTCCTGTCCGCGAAATACAGTTTAGTAACCATTTTAGACGTCCGTTGACTTGTTCAGTCACTTTGACTACTCGTGAATGGTCACATTGTTCATCCCAACTGCAACTAATTTCCTCTCCCACCTAGGGTATCGGATTGCCATTGGAGGAATCCTTGAAGTTCTGGCGAAACGCATTTGCACCCAAATACGATAGTGATCAGTTTTCAAAGTCCTACGCCTACAACATCCGTCACAACTACGGGAAGGAGGGAAAGCGCGCTGATTACACACCTTATTCTTGCGTAAAGGTGATATGCGTTGTCCTTGTGCTATTCATTTGTTCTTGTATTCCTTAAAAATTACGTTCTATTTCCGGTTCAGACGGCCATACTTAATTCACCTACGCGGCTTACGCCATTTGGTAGACAGGTGGCAATGGAGATGACCTAAAACGCAGACTTTGAATCTTCGTATAGTTTTCAACCGTTTTGAAAATATGTCAGTGCGGTTATTCTCTTTTCCGGATATCTAGCCAGCTGTCGGTTTTTAAAGAATTCGTTTTCGGTCGGATAAACGAAATTCCTGAAAAACTTTTTTGGATGTTTTCTGGTTCTTGGATCAACTTACCAATGACATGTGTCAACACTTCTCGGCTATTTTTCCGTGGAATTTGAATCCATCTCGACTGCTCGTGGCCTTGTACTAATGACTGCCTACTAAACATTACCGCAGCCTTATTGCTCATAATTTGCTTCATTGAGAATAAGAATAGACATTACGTTCCAGCGGAGATTAGTGAAGGGGAGGGGAAACAGTACTTCGAAAACGTAACCAAGTTGACATGGTCGGCTCCGAATGAAGTCTGCATCGGGATCATTTCAGATCCACAATGATTCAACCTTGGCCTCATCTGAAATGTCACATCCAGCGACGTACGGAGTAATCGTCGTATAATACCAGCTTCCTCCTTTTCAGACACAAGAAGGCTGAGAAACTTACGAGATTTGGTGCTGAACAAACTTTTTTTCAGAACCTCAGTTAATTCTGTCGGGACGACACTAATATGAAACGGGTCGGTACTATTGGAGTTTGTATTGTGTTGAACTTAGGTCATGGGATTTTTCCATTCCGGAATTTTCATATTATGAATATCCATATGGTTTTACACAGCGGTTCACATACCGTTTCACCCCGCGCATTCTCCAGTTTATTGCAAGTGGTTGTCTGACATACTCGAAGGCCTTACTGGTATCTAGAAAACAAATAGAGGTACAGCTGTGCAACTATGGTCTATATGGACTGTATAGTAAATCCTTCCATTTTGCAGGTGTCAGATAACAGGAAATGTGCAAAGCACTCCATGTCACCAAGTCCCTAAATACATCACTTGTATTGTGTCCATAAATGTGCTCAACAATATTTTCTTTTGAAAAGTATTAGTTATTGTGAAAGAGGAGATCATGGTGATCTGCACCCAATAAATACTTAACTGCTCGAAAATTCTTTTTTCCGTGGTGGAGTGTTGTCGGCGTGATGAATAATCTGACAGAGCTTTGGTCAGTTGGCCTTTCCTCGCTTCTGAGGATGGGTGCGAATTTATCTGAACATATTAACCACAATACTCCTATTTTTACACTCATACTAGACCACTGGGTTTTTCATTCAGACTATAATTTAGTTAACCTATCAGCTGGTACGAATGGAGTTAGTCGAACTAAGAAGCAAAAGGTATGGCAGCGAAGGCCATTGTGCCACCAATATATGACTCGTGCCCGGTCGAATTTACGGCTCCACAGGTTTTTGGTAACAGCCGCGTCGTGTTTTTGAGGATGATGACTGCGTTATTCCCTACTGTCTGCAATCCGCTAGTAACATTTTGCTCTACATCTGTACAATTCAGAACAAATGTCGAATAAGACCTAACTATCTTATATACTTCGGAACGTAATTGCTGCAAAAACACAGTTGAGCGAAATATCGATAGAATAAAACGGCAGGCTTATTTGCACCTAACATAACGAGAATGAATTCAACACCACGGAGAATAGTGCCACCAGATGGTACAGCCAATAGTAAAATGCTAAGCGACGGAGACCTGCCTCAGAAATCATCGGTCGGATGAAGAAGCTGAGAAAGTGAAATCCGCCCTGTCAAGGACCACTGATCTAGAGCGCACACAATTCTTACTTTACAGCTTGTTATGCCAAAGCCAGCCATAAGTCCAATTCTGTTTCCACATTACGCCTTATGTGGTTAAACTAGTTCGGTACGGCGCCCAGGCGTTAGCGTTAAACACGGACGTTATATTGTTTTTGATGACGATTATTCTAGTGCAGTGTCATCAAGAGGTACACTCGCATTTCGCTGTTATTAAGGGCAGTGCGTATGTTGAGCCGATGTATCCACCCCGTTCATCTGATATCTGAGAAGACTATGGTACCACAATGGATATTGCATGCACCTGATTTTGCACATCCGAACATCGCATGTTGGAACTTTGGGCCATGCAATTGGTTGGTTCCACGCTTCGAACGACGATCTTGCAATTGTCGAAGAACACGCGCTTTTTATTGGCAGAATCCTCCTAAATCTTTATCTTGTCTTGTTCTTGAAGCAAATAGAAACCGAAAAGAGCAGCATTGTGCCGCCGTCTTGTTTTTTTTTGGAAGTCGTCAGCAATGTGCATCTCACGGCGATTTGAACCCACGACTTTCCAAGCAAGAATTGGACATTAACTTCCAACTATTGGTGGCCGTACATAGTGCCCAATAGTATCATATCAATATCAATATGATCAGTCGTACCATGGACTGAACCCCAATGTTATTCTTCCTAACTGGCACTTAAACACCGTTGCCCACCATGTCTAAATGGTGTAATTTCCTACTCCCCCCAGAAGCTTGAATTTTTATGTCATCGATATTCGAGAGGTGCAACCGTCAGGAAGAGACTGGAACTTACCGTATTGTGACGGGTGTGTCTCCCTGACCCATTGAGCTATGATTAGTAGTGTCCGTGCGACACTCAGTCTCTCGCATCAGGTTGGTCAATGGTCAGAGGTCTGACCAACACAACCTGCTAGTCCTCCAGGTTGCGTGTTAGAACATGTATGGCGACTGGTTCTGTGAAAGTTGAAATGCACTTGCATCTCCGGCCAAATAGCGCCACCCTACCGTCAGGCTTTTGAGACAGAAGCTTTGGGTGGGAACCCTAATCGTCCTACCTAGGTCTGGGCGCCCTGGCAGTATCCTCGTCCGCGTACAACCATGATGCAACTAACAATACTCTCATGCTATATCGGACGTCGCGCAGTATCATCAACCGGGCTGCCTTACCTGCTGCTCACAACAGCGCGGGTAAGCGAAAACAGGCCACTGCTGACGCCTCTCTTCTTAGACTTCCACATTTTCCCTCTTCTAGCCTACAACAACCCGGTAAGCGAAAACAGGCCACTGCTGACGCCTCTCTTCTTAGACTTCCACATTTTCCCTCTTCTAGCCTACCCTACCCTCCCGCAGGTCTCACATTGTTCACCGTGCATCGCACTCAGCTACAGCTTCTGTACGTCCGACTCCAGTGACAATTCAAAACACTCGAGGCCTGTTTTCAACCCCCCAAAGCCTGTCTACTTAGCCGCTTTTGATGTTCGCACACCGAAACAATCAGGACGGCAGCTGGCTCTTGCTCGCACGCCGGATCCCCCTTTCGTTGATGTATGCCATCTGTCAGAAACAAGGATACAGGACGAATGAACTGTGATTGAATTGACTGCCCCCTAGCACCCTTCCTGCTTCTCGCTGCGCACCTCTGGTGATACAGATGCCGCTGCATCTGGATATGCTGCGCTTCATGGTATATCAGCGATCGAGCGGAAGCGTCCCTACTTGGCCGAATACCCGTTGATAGTCGCCTCTGCGTGGTTCGTTTGGCGATGTCTGTGATAGAATGTCAAAAGTGAGGTTTATCACAACCTGTTTATTGCGTTCACTTACGTCCCAACTGACTGTAGCTCCAAATACGCCAAAGACAGTTTCTATGACGCTCTAGGTGTTCTTTTACAACAGACTAAAAGCTCAGATATCGTTTTCGTTGGTAATGACATGAGCACTGCTGAGGCCCGATTGGGTGATCATCTTGGATTGGACACGAGAGGCAATCACAACGCAGTTCGCCTGCTTCAGATATCTGTCGATCACAAACTCATCGTTTGCAGTACCAAAGCGGAAATCGCTTGACAACGTGGTGCCTATCGACGAACCAGTCTCGAATCCAGATAGACCACATCACCGTCAGTTACCGATGGCGAGGGTCGATCGCTGCCTATCGCTTCCTCTAGAACACCAGCGTTGACTCCGACCATGCACTTATGCGCTGCTGCATTTAATTGGGCTTTTCAGGTCTATGCAAAAAGTGCACACCTCGCTTAGTTAATGATAAGCTGTTGGAACCAGACAGAAGAACGAACCTATCAGAGCCAGTTCCCCGAACGCCTGCCGGACGGTCCGATGTCGGATATAAACGGCCACTGCAAAAAGATACTCAGAGCCGCAACTTCTGTTTGCGGTGCAACCCAGCCAACCTCATCTGAGAATTAGATCTCTGACAGGACCGTGTCTTTGCTGCAGGATATGCGGCAGATTCCCTCCCTGGCGACCTTCCACCTGCTCTCTTCAGGGATGGCGGTGCGCTTCTCAGCCAGTGTCTGTCTAGCTTGTTTGGGTCTATCTGACAGAGAGAGACCATCCCAGCCAACTGGTGGGAATCGATAATGGTGCCCATTTTTATAAAGGGTACTCACAGTGAATATGATGACCACATAGGTGATAGTTCAACTTCTGTTGTGACGAGCATTCTGGCGTCACTGAATCTTCATGGTCTTACGGTGGCGCGCGAAACCTTGGCTCATGAGCATCAAGCGAGATTTTGACCGGGTAGAGGCTGTGTTGACCCTATCTTCATATTGTCAGGTGTTAGAGTAGTGCCAATTGTACAAACGACCCCCAATCTTGCTGTTCCTTGACTTCAAGGGTGCGTTCGATCCTTTCGATCGGTCACTGCTGTTAACTGCATTTGCTAAACAGGGTATGCCCAAGAAGTTTGTGAGCATACTCCGATTCCCATATTCACGTACCTCTGGGCGTGTGGAAGTGTATGGTAAGCTCTCCAAAAGCCTTCCTGCAAAAAATTGATGTCCGACAAAAATGTTCTATCTCTCCATCCTTGTTTAACTTCATCATTGATGAAATAATGTGGCGAACCCGGGAAGATCTTCAAAACCCCAGTGTTCAACTTTTTACTGGTGGGAGCCTTGTCGACCTGGAGCACGCAAAAGATATCGCCCTCATCGTTGAATACCAGGGTGAATCACAAGCCCTGTTGAATAGACTGACCACCGTCATATAATTCGGCATGTGCCTAGCACCTTCAAAGTCCAAAGTCATGCTTCAGAATTTGCAGTTTCTGAGCATACCCCCAACAATTCAAGAAGAATCACGAGTTTGGGGAGGATTTTACATATCTCGGTATTTGTATTAGCTCTGACGAAAGTATGTTTGATGAAGTCTGCAAGCATCTCAAAGGCTGGAATCACGTTATCTAATTTGCGTTACTTGTGACGTCAAAAAAAATCACTGGGTCTTAAGGGTCGCGTGTACCAGACCACAGTAATGGGCTGCGTTGTACAATGGTTTGCGATCATAGCCTCTGCCGTCAGATGATGTGAGGCGTCTTCTGGTTTTCGACCTTCGATGCCCCAGAAGCGTTCCTGGTTTTGACTGTTTCACTACTTGTAAGTCAAAAGGGCATACGAAATTATAGTAAGCGATGAATGATTGAGATCACTGTTCATTGGTTGAATGGACTTTTGTTGGTCGTGGGTAGGCGTGTCCAAGCAGACTTGTCTTCTTTCCGGCTAGTTGTGTGCAGCCTTAAGCAGCACACTCTTCCTGGGTACCAATTCATTTTCAGCTACAAAATCAACATCTCCAAGAACGTGTCCGACATAAAAATCTTGATCCTGATCCTTTCATATTCAAACCTTCCATGTTTCTAACATTTCTATTTGCATTTGTTCGGGTTTCGCTTTCAGATCATCTCTTCAAGTGGACCCGGACCTGGCGAATCTCACGGTTGTCCGTTTCGTCACATGGAGCCAGACCTTTTACGGCACCGTTTGTCTTCTGGAGGCCGTATCCCTTCTGATGCAGTTGACATTATTATGCAGCGAGCCAAAGAACGATTATATCATCTGAGTTGTCGTGAGTACTTCCGCGCTATGCATAAATTGAATGCCGACGCCATATCCGGTCTCGTAATCAGTCACCCCAACCAGTATTTTGATGAAAGTCTGAAAGTTCTCGAGGGTGATTTAGAAATGTCAATGGGTGGAACTGAGAAGGTGCGCGTCACCAAAGTTAAGTTGCAGGATACTACTCATGGTGGTGATAAGTCTATCATTAGACCAAACGTACTCGGTGACGGAATGGAGGAAGATATACCGATGGAAGAGTTGACGACAACAATTGAAGATTTTTGATTTGGCCAGATTTGTCAGATTTTTCTCAAAACTATTTTATATCCTTGTAAACTGAATGTACCCCTCTCTCTCTCAGGCAAATCACTCGGTTAAGTTTGTTTCGCATCAACCTTTGTGTCATTCAGACTTCGGCCAAACAACTTTGGAACTCAGTTGAACTGTCCTCCTGTCAATAAAAAGCTCCCATGCACTTTTAGGCTGTATGCCCCATCTCCATTGCATCTGTTCGTTACTCTGCGAAGGTTAGAAATACTAGTTAAAACTTGGAAACTCGCATGCGGGATAAAGCATCACCTTCTCGTCTGTCATGTTGACCATTATTGTATCAAATAGTGGGGAAATGATCGTATTACTAGGGATGCTAAGTTCTCTGTAACGCTTAATGGTTTCCACAAACAACAATTTATGTTCCCGTCATCCAGCTTCTATTTTGTACAATTTAACAACTACACAAACACTGACCTAGGACACTCACGGAGTCTTTGGTAAATAAGCAGCGAATACAACTTGTCACCTTGCCCAATGCAGCACGAATTTATAGAATATAAATGTCAACCCAGGCAAACACGGGTAATTATTCGAAAAACTGAAGGGTCCATGGCTCGTTGAGTCAAGTCAGTTACGTTCCAATCAGTCTAGGTGCGAGAAACAGAATGGCTTGTAGACCAAAAGTTACACGGCTTCTTTTGAGCCCGGTTGGAGCCAAATATCTTGAATTTCGACAGCCTCTGCAATCCGTAACTGTCAGAATCGCATCGTCATATTAAGTCGTTGCCTCCAGCACGTGGTTCTCATCCCCTAATTATCTTTATCCTCGGTGAACGAAGCTATAGTAGCTGAGTCTACTGCACTTCGTGGCACGGTTTGTGAGCTGAAAACTGAATGGTGTCGTTCATGACCGGTCGGGATGAACCTATTATATGACTTCAATGACGTTCTTCTGCGATCTGAATAAGTTCGGCCTGGATGTGAACTGACTGCATTTGAGTCAAACCTGTCTCAAGCATCATACAGGGAAACTGAACAGGGTTTGCCTATCACGTTTTACTAACATCTTATCACACGATCACCATATGGTGCTCGACACGAGCATGCGAACTGGTACACAAAAGCTTGTGATAAAGATCAGCAAGTTTAGTGGTAGTGGAACCGATGCTCAAGCAGAGATTAGCGAGTCTAAATATCACATCCTTACTACTCTGCCGTCTTCTGGTAGTTAGCTCTTCAATATAGTCTGCATTGAATGGGAGGTTCATATAGGTACGCGTTTTCCCTGCCATTTGCACTATGTCCAGCACTAATATCAGAATGCATTTAAAAGATACCTTGTTCTGATTGAATCTGTCTCATGTTATGTGTCTCCCATTCTCTGGACGTCCGTGGGAGGATCTTTTGCTGGTGTGAGAATAATAAGCTACCACTTACCCCACCAGTTAACATTAGGTGACAAACCGAGAATCACACCTGAGCTGTCTGTATTTTGTAGTAGAAGGTAATGGTCCGTTTGCACTCGTAATGACTATCAAAGCGGATCGGCAATCCACCCCTTTTGTGAATAACGCTCCGCGAACTTTGTATCCAAACTACGGCCGACTGCTTGTACTGCTGGTGTTTGCCAAACAACCTCTTTTACCATAAGTTCGTGTGAAACGCATCGTTGATCACCGTTTGCATATCCAATGAGCCAGCTCCGCATTATTTTGCATCCTGCTCCGCGCTGCATTTGAAGTGGTAGTCGCTAATTGTACCAGTCCAAAGAGGCTCTGGTTTTATGCTGACCAGGAATTCAGTATTCAGACATAAAAACGAATAACCATTCGGAACTAAGGTGTCTTCGGTCGGTTACTTCGGAAAGACATCTTAGCGCAAACTTCCGAAGTCAACTTTGAGGACTGGGATGTCATTATTGTGGAGTTTATCAGTTTGCTATGCTATTGTGAGGATATTATGGATTTCAGAGTATTCCTTCATGGAAACATAATATTCCAATGCGGCCCATACCTTATCAGAGGATACGATTTTGCGGCATTAGCCTTAAGCATGGCAAGACAAGCTGGGACCGACCGAGAAAGCTGAATGTCACTAAGCCCCAGTCCTGCTTCGAACATATGCAGCTGAAGCGGTGAAGTTTTTGAGGACGGCAAATGTGGATCATTCCTATAAGGGTGTGATGGTGAACGAAACCATTTATACTGCTGAAGGATATGGTCCAAACCTGTTAGGACGTGACCGGCTGCAACAATTACGCATACTTGTGTTGAACCGGGTTGCAACCATCCTGAGGTTCAATCTCTTATCCGCAATTTTAAGGAAGTATTTCCAGAACCAAATACTAGCGACCTTTCCGGGGGGGAGTTGAATATATGCGTTCTACCTTACTTGATTCACCCAAAGGTCGAAAGAGAACATAACCGTTTGCAATGTGAAGGAATAATTCAAAGAACGGAGTTCTCGGAGTGGTCTACACTAAGTGTACCAATACTGAGAACGAACAGCACAACTAGAGTCTGCGGCGCCTATAAGACTACGGCCAATATCACTACGCATGCAGAACAATACCCATTACCTAAAATCGAAGATGTTTACGCGCAAATCGATAAGAGCATATATTTTTCAAAACTAGATTTAGCTCATACGAGCAATTAGCATTAAACACGGAAGCGAAATTCGTCACAACCATCAGTACTCATAGATGATTTGTGATGAACACGATTGATACTACATCCATTGCTCTATTCGTCATTCTCTTGTTTTAATATCCCATATGCTGTGCATATACGCCGATCCGAATATATGCGTGCTACTTGTTACGCTGCACTGAGTTCTGGATTTCTAGTTCGTCTGGTTATACTGATATACGTGCGGAATTTAGCTCTCACATTTTGGCGTCACGCTTGGAACAATTCATCATGCCTGCCGAACTGTAACCATTAGATGTTAATTCAATTACGCGAGACGCAGAGGATTATTTGGAACGGTTCGACATATGGTGTCTTACAAAATCTGATATGGATGATAAGAAACTCACGGCATATCTTCTACATTTTGTTGGCAAAGAGGCGTATACATTGATCAAGAATTTAATATATCCTGAATCTCCAATCGATATTTCCTACAATGCATTGAAGAAAACAGTTCTTCAACACTTCAAACCGATTAACTTCGAAACAGCCGAAAGAGCCAGGTTGAACATACTGACCCGCTCCCATTCTCAGTCGGTTCGTAATTTTGTATTATAGCTGCAGACACAGGCAACCAAATGTGACTACGGTGCCCAACAGGAAGACCAACTGTGTGATAGGCTCATTGCTGGCATTCAACTGCCTGAATTACAGCAGAAGCTGCTGCTCTATCCGGATCAGAAATTTCAAACTATTCGGAAAATGTGTGAGCAGTATGAAGATGTGAAGCATGTAACGAAGACTGATGAAGCAGTGTTGTTAAATTATTCTCAAAGAAATAATTCAAGGATGCACACGAACAACAAATTCAAACCTCAAACAAATACTCGTGCCCAAAATCCATCAATACTCCGCTTCACAAATCGTAACTCTAATTCGATGGTTCAAAAATCTGGGAAATGTGAATCTTGTGGACGAAACCATCCCAGGTATTCATGCCCTCAGACGAACGAAGTGTTTTATATGCGGTAAAACGGGACATATTCAACTTGTCTGCAAGTCCAAAAAGTGTGCCACTTAACTTCTGATCCAAACACGGACGTGAAAGCATTGTCGAAAGACAACTCTACCCTTTTTCTATCTATTTTGTCCCCAACTTCGTTACGTGTTTTTAGAACTTTGATATCAGCTTCTGGTCAAAAGCATGACTTCATTGTTGACACTAGTAGTGTTGAGTTCATTATTCCACACTCACGTCTAACTTTATTCTACTCCAGTGTCGTGATAGTGCCTACAAATGTTAACATTCGCGGTATCACTGGACATTCTGTACCTCTAGTTGGTAGTTCCACGATCCCTGTGAGATTGCCCCCAGGTACCTCTATCGATCGTAATATTTTAGTTTCAACCTCGGGACTATCAATTATCGTACTCAAAGTTCTGCGCTCACTGCGAACTAGTATCACTTCACTGACTTCTGTGAATGGGATTTAACTCAAACAACTAATCCTTAAATGTTCTGAGGCTACAAGTGACATGCAAATACCCAAGGTGAGACTCGAAGTTACAGGAGATCCTACATTTCTTAAGAGACGAATTATTCCATTTGGCTTACGCGGGCCTGTTTGTTATGCATTAAATTCAATGTGTGCGAAAGGAATACTGACTCCTGTCGAATCATCGAATTGGGCGACCCCGATAGCTACCACGCCAAAGGCCGATGGCATTACTCCGAGGATTTGTAGAGACTACTGGCTAACGCTAAATACGTGGTTACTACAAGCACTACTACATGCACGATGGAAGAGCCCGAAGATGTGCTGTATCGTTTACCAGGTTCATGGGTGTTTTCAAAAATCGATCTAAGAGATGCCTCTCTTCAAATACCACCGTGGTGAACACACCTTTTGGGTTATTCCGACACAACTTCCTTCCCTTTGACCTGAATGTTTCACCAGCTGTACTTCAGCAAGTTATGAGTACTATTGCAAAAGGTTGGGAGAGTGTTGAGACTTACCAAGATGACGTCATAGTGCACGCTGCTGATAAAGCTACTCATGACATGCGTCTGTTGTCTTCACTAAAGCGATTTTCTGAGTTCAATGTAGCTATTCACCTTGATAAATGCACTTTCGGTGTTCCATCATTTTCATGCCTTGGCAGCATTATGGATGGCTGCGGTTTTAAACTCGATACAAACCGTCTATCTCCTTTAGTAAATGTGTCATCACCAACCAATCTACAAGAACTGCGTTCAGTTCTAGGAGCTCTTCGGTATTACTCCCGTCTCATTCCTAATTTCGCCAAACATACAAGTTACCTGTTTGATGCCATATCTGCCACTCAGTTTTCTTGGTCTTCCAACCATGAAAAGACGTTGCGTGTACTGCTTGGTTATCTTCAAACTTCAGCTATTTTGAAGTCATTTTCCACCAAACATCATTCAACCATCATTACTGATGCTTCTCCCACTGGAATAGGAGCAATCCTTGAACAGTGTGGTAGACCAGTGATCTGCATTTCCCGTCGACTTTCAAAAGCCGAACGTGAATACTCTCAAGCTCAACGAGAAGCACTTGCGGCATACTGGGCTGTCAAACGGCTCCATAAGTATCCTTTTGGATCAAACATTATCATCGCTACTGATCAAGAGGCTTTAAAGTTCTTGTATCACCCAACAAAATGTCTAGCGAAGTCACCTGCCGCTATGGTCCAACGGTGGGTGATTGCTCTGAGTTCGTACACCTACACGATTGTTCATCGTAGTGCAAAAATGATTCCCCATGCCGATTTATTGTCAAGAATGTCATCATGTGACTCTGATTCGAACAATTCAGATTGTTTGTTTATCCAACTATTAGCAATCGAGCGGGATGCGCTTGTTGCTGATAGTAAAAGATATTTTGCTCTCATTTCTCCTGCACTGCGACGTGGCTGGACGCAACAGGAACGACGCCGATTTCCCGCTTTTTACTGTCGCCATGAAAGCTTGTCCATTACTCCGGGTGGTTTGCTGTCTTTCCACCGACTCAGCGAGGGGCTGTTCTGGCAGGTCTGCACTCTGATCATCTGGGTGTTGATAAAATGAAATCCATTGCACGCTTGTCATGTTGGTGGCCAGAACCGGATGCTGACATCAAGCATACTGCGAAGAATTGTGTTAAGTGTGCACCTAAGCTTCATAACAAGTCTTCACAGTGGTTTCCGTGGGCAGTTACTTGTGAAGCATTTCAACGAGTTCATGCCGACTACTATGGTCCTTTTCTTGGTAAATACTATGCTTTAAGTGTTATTGACGCATATTCACGTTGGCCTGAAGTCTTTCGAACTGCGTCTCCAACTGCCGAATTCACACATCAAGTGTAAGATCGGGACGGTTATGGATCTCACAGGACGATTGCGACTATTGGATTATACGCAGTTCGTAGCCAGTAGTCAATAGGAGCAGACGGACGTGGGGCAGCAGATGATATATTGAGGAATGACAGGAACTGGTTCTACAGACAAACGGATTAGTAAGCATCATGAATTAAGAAAACGTACAATCAACAATGACGCAATCAGCAGGGGCGGGAAGTAGTCACTGACACAGCACGGATTTCTATAGGGGCAACAGCAAGTAAGTACCAAACGATGTACAGACATACATGTAGGGCAGTATGACAGTGCGAATTGGCTGTAACGGCGCAGGAGTCAGTAGGTTCGGGATGTGAGGGACTGTCCTTCGGTCGGCGTCGACGCAGCCGTTCGTGTCGCGTGACAGGTCAGATTGCGCGGTTTCGTCCGTTTGAAACAAAGCTCAGCAAGGGTTATCTGGCAGGCGGGATACATGGGTAATACAAGATAATCAGCGCCATAGGCGTCAGGCTGGTGGGGTCGGTGACGCGTTCGCCTGCCGTCCGGAGGATCCGGGTTCGATACCCGGTCAGCTTGCATTTCCGTCGGAGTGGGCGCTCAAAAAATAGGTGCAATCGAGGCGAACTTGCAGGCAATGACAGACGGGCAACAAATATTGATATCACTTACTGAGGGATGAGCAGACCTTAATTAGGAAGGAAACGGGGGGGGGGAAACGAGCAGCAAGAAAACGAAACGGTGCCATAATAAACAGGTGTTAGTAATGTTGCTCGTGAGTAGTCAGAAAACAAGGAAAGTTACCCTTGTTCACCGTTGACTCTCAGGAGGATTCAACCCGAAGCATTTAGGAAATTATTCTTCGATAGAACTGTTCGAGCTGTTTTGGTCACCGACAGCGGCACACACTTCACTGCTAAATTCCTCGAGGAATGGTTAAAATGTTTTGGATGTGGACATCTTTTTGCCGCTCCACGACATACGCAGTCGAATGGGCTTGCTGGGAATTTTTTCCGAGCACTGAAATCTGTCATTATTTCTTTCTCTCCTACTACCTTTTTGGGTTTGGACTGTGGGATTGATAATTTTCTAATGCAATACAAGAATGCCGTTCATTCTTTTGATGGGAGGCGTCCCGAGTTTCTATCTAAATCTCGTTCGTTGCGTACATTTCTTGACTGTGACAAAACGACTGATGCTACATTTTTCAAGGATAGTGGTTTACAAACTGCTGCAGGAAGAATACTTTCGTCAAAAGGCAAACGGATGGTCACAATTCTCGATTTGGATGACCTCTCCTTTCATCAGAGACACATTGATCAGGTCAAGTTCAGTACCAGATGTCAGTCTGTTAACGGCACTCTTGCTGTTTCAAATACTGATGAGTCCTTTTAAGATAATATTATGGTATCCGAGCAAAACGTTTTATCTGAAGAACGCACTACCTGTGAGGAGTCTGAAGTTCCCATTCCGAGAACATCCGAAAGATTGCGATCAAGACCACCACTGGACTATAAACATCCACACGCTAATTCAAGCTGTGGCGGATGTGAAGAACACGATTGATACTATATTCATTGCTCTTTTCGTCATTCTCTTGTTTTAATATTCCATATGCTGTACATATACGCCGATTCGAATACATACGTGCTACTTGTTACGCTGCACTGAGTTCTGAATTTCTAGTTCGTCTGGTTATACTGATTTACGTGCGGAACTTAGCTCTCACGGTATTGTTTATGTTTGGTCGTCTTCCTACTGGAATACACTCCGCTCCATCCATATTTCAATGCACGACCGAAAACTTCCTTTCCGGAATACCCAAAATATTAGTCTATCTAGAGGATATTCTGATAACCAGGTGTACCATGCAGGAGCGTTTGGAGTCGTTCAAACTGGTATTTGATCGTCTGGAGGAATGTAGACTATGAATAAAGAAGAGTGTAATTTCCTGGCTGATCAAGTGGACTATTTAGGTTTCCGCATCAATGCAGACAGTCTGGCCCCACTAGCAAAGAAAATACGCCCAATATTGGGAACGTCACAAACAGGGAATAAACATGAACTACAATCTTATGCATGGTTAATCACCATGCGAGGTTTCTTTCGCAAGCTACTACATCTATACACCTCCTGAATTACTTTCTACGTCACGAAATTAGCTGGATTTGGAATCATGAACAACAGAAGGCCTTTCAGAGGGCGAAACGTGCCCTTAAGAGTCCTCCGGTGCTCACTCATTTCGACTCAGCACAGCCCATTGTTCTCTCCTGTGGTGATTCACCATTTGGTGTTGGAGTCGTGTTATCGCAGAAGGTACCCGACCTAGAGCTGCCACCTTGACGTGTTGGTCGGGCTTAAGTGCTGCAATGATCCCGCGGGCTACACCGGCTGGAAGTTCGTTCCACAAGTCGCAACCATGCCAGGAAGGCCAAAGGGGAGCTGCGAGACCCCGTACTACCAGTGAGCGTGCTACGAGACGGTCTGAGGGTAAAGTCGTACTGTACTCTGCAACAGGAGTGTGAAGGTAGTAAGGTGTTTCCCCCAGGCGACCAGCATGTCCATATTTATGGAAGCAGCAATGCTGCCTTACCCCGAGGAAGGACGGGTTGGATAAGGTCAGCCCCTAAAATCGCACACTCCGATCGCCCAACAGTTGACCGTGACTGCCAGCGCATTATCAAATACGGTCAGAATACTTTTAAAACCAAAGAGTCCGGTGCTGTTCTTAAGGCTCCTGCTGTGCACAGCCGCATCAGGAATGAGACAGTAATGCCTTATTCCCTGCTCCCTCGGGTTAGGCCAATCCCCTGCAGCCGAGCAGGTCAGACTGTTGAGTCGTCGGCTCCGAGTAGGGTCCCCAAAGAAAACTTTACATTTTCCCACTGCCTCGTGGGCCGGACTTTTGAGTCAAAGGCTCGAGGTGGGGAACCTCAACCAAACCCCCTTCCTCGGCCTGGGCAACCGGGAAGTATCATTTGCCCGCGCAGTTCAGCGTCCACCGATGTCCCTCTCCAACCCCTCCCCAGTTCACAAGCGAACGTCGCTGAGCCATTTGACTGTCAGTTATATGATCGAAGGTCCTTATGCTCCTCCCTGCCTACAAAAAATAAACAAAATAACACCTTTCTAAATCCATGAGATCCTTTCGGTATAGGAGCTTTTAACGTCCGTGATTGTGCATCTCAGGGCTCCAAGGATGAACTCAGCTCTTTCACATTTCTCCCTTCGTGTTTCCGTGACTCAGAAGCGCTGACTCCTGGAATATATGGCGCGGAAGTCTCTGCGCCGTCCGGCTATCCAGTTCAATCAAACTCAGTGCCTCCCGGCATAAAAAGCGGTGACTGTTTGTTGTGTCGGCTTATGCTCCAACGGACTGCAGTTCTGATGCGGAGAAGGATACCTTCTATCGATAGCTATCCGGGCTCATTCATCAGGCAAAAAGCACCGAGATTGTGGTCCTCACAGGCGATTTGAATGCTCATGTAGGTCGTCTGAGCTCCTTTGAATCATATTTGGGTGGTCGTTTCGGAGTCGATGCTCGTCGCGCAGACAAGTTAGATCGACTCCTTCAGTTGTGTGCTGATGATGAACTGTTTTTGGCAAGTACGAACTTTCAACATAAACGTTCGCACCGCGTAACCTGGCGGCCACCGACTGCAAATCAACTGTAGATCAAGGTGGACCACGTGGCCATCAGCCATCGATGGAGAGCTACAATTCGATACTACCGTTCTTTCTGGGGCACGCCACTTGATTCCGATCACGCCATGGTGCGTGCACGCCAGACAGTTCGTTTTCCTTCAGGCCCTCGCAAGTCGGCAAAAAGCGTGCCAATCCACCAGCTTCGAAGAAATGACATAGCTCAACGGTATCGGTCTGAGCTAGGTCAACAACCCTCCTCAGCAAACCAATACTGTGGTGGCAGTGGGCATGTGGATGACGCGTGGCAAAATGTGAAAGGAGCCATGCTAGCGGTGTTCACTGCTGCCCGCCCGACTTGTCCATTTCCACCACAGGACCACGGGATGTAGTCAAGGTCGTTATCCATGATTGGTGCCAGGCCCGACTTGTTTCCACCACAGGACCACGGGATGTAGTCAAGGTCGTTATCCATGATTGGTGCCAGGAAAGCCATACCAACAGGCGAGTAAGTACGAGCACACAAGTTCGGGAGATGGAGAAGGCTTTTGCTACGGGAAACAGCCGTACCCTTTATCAACTGTTACGATCGACTGGCCCTAGGAAAGCAGCGGTCAGCGAAACGATAAGTGAAACAGATTGCTCATTAATTCACTCGCAAAAACGTCGACTGGAGAGATGGGCCGAACACTTCGAAGAGCAGTTTAGCTGGCCTCCTGCAACACAGCCGGTGGAGATAATGCATACGGTCGAATGGAAGGTAAACCTTGACCGCCCTTCGGAAGACGAAATAAGGTACGAAATAGCCGTACTGAAACGTGAAAAGGCACCAGGACCAGACGGTCTGTATCCAGCAACTCTTCAAAAAGGCGAAAAATTCCCTGGTGACCCACCTGACAAAGCTCATTGGTACTATGTGGGACGAAGAGAAAGTGCCTGAAGAATGGGGCACGTCGACAGTTATCCCTATCTTCAAGAAGGGTACACGGACGCTATGCGAAAACCACCGTGGCATCAGCCTGTTAGCTGTGGCATCGAAGGTGCTCTCTGGCCTTATCCTTCGAAGGTTGACTGAACACAGAGAGAGAGGCA